GGGACTCCTGGTGCTCCAGCCACACTGGGAAGTGGTCGCTCCCGAGTGGGTCGTCATGGACGGACCAGGTAAAAAGCTGAGCTAGCCGCGGACTGACTAAGCTCAGGTCCAGAGCCGATGTTTGACCGGAGGGTGTTGTAAAATGGGTGCGCTGTCCTGTATTTAAAATACACAGCGCCTCATCGCGGATAAAAGATTCTAAAAGTCGACCACGAGTGCCAGTCGTGTCGCATCCCCACGCCAGGCTATGGGCATTAAAATCGCCGACTACCAGGACCGGAGGTGGAAGCTCATCGACAAGTCGATGCAGCTCAACCACCGGGAGCGCTATACCTGGTGGAAGGTATAAAGAACAGACTGTCAGCTCCCAGTGGTTGAAATCAACTCTAGCGGCTACCGCCTGCAGAGGAGTCTGCAGCGGAACCTGACGTGCGGGCACACTGTGGTGCACTGCCAAAAGTACACCTCCATGGGCAATGGTCGGGGTGTCTAAGTCTCTTCTAAAAACAGAGTAGCCCTTGATGGCAAAGGTAACGTTTGGCGCTAGCTTGGTCTCCTGGAGACCTAAAACAAGGGGTGTGCGCCAACGGATAAGAGACTGTAGGTCCTGGTAGTTGGCCCGGAGGCCTCTACAGTTCCACTGTAGAATAAAAGGCGTGGTTAAAAAGGCGCAAAAAGGGCGCGTATAACATGAGGCAAAGGCGCACACAGATACCTGACTGACCACAAAAAAGGTAAAAAGCACCGAGAGAAATGCACCTGGTAAAAAAGCGCAATAGCGCGAAAAAGATAAAAGGATAAAAGAGGAAATGACTAGACTGAAAGACTAGACTAGGTCCTCTAACTCCGAGGAGGCGCTCCCCCCGTAACGGATACGGGGATGCCCCGAGCCCTCTCGGTGTAGCCTCCCTTCAGCAGAGGCAGATCGGGCGTGGCTCGAGCCCTGCTGGGGCTTTTTCGCCCGGGGGGCGTCACCCTCCGAGGGTGACCAGCTCGGGGGCGTCTGCCGCTTGGCGAGGCGCCCTGGAGCCGCGGAGGTCTGTTGCCGCCCCGACGGGGATGTCGAGGCGGCGGCCTGTGTCCTCGACACAGGCGTCTCTGGCAGCGGCGGTGGTGGCCGCCGCTGCGGAGGTGGAGGAGGCGGCGGGGGACCCATGATGGGCCGAGTCCCCGCCTCGGGTGTCTCCGGGGTGTCAGCGGCAACAGCCGCTTTGGCACTCCCGGAGGCGGAGTCGGCAGACGAGGCTTCCTTAGCCTCTAGGGCCTTCTGGACGAGGCGAGCCCTCCTCGCCTCGCGTGCCTTCCTCTCCTCCTCCCCCCGCCGCAGCGCCTCCTGCACCGCCGTGGGCGGTCGGGGGCGGGGCGGGGTGGGTGGCGCCTTACCCTGCGCCGGGGGGCGCCGACCACCCTGTCGGCGCTGGACGACGGCCCAGCCGTCTCCATCACCGTTCGCGGCTGGAGCGGGACTGGGTGGACCCCACACTGACTCTAGAGCAGCCTGCTCTGTGTTGCTCGGCGGCGCACGAGGCGCCGTGGTGTCCGCTGAGTCACCAGTGGCTACGACGGTGAGGCCGAATCGTTTGAGAAGCTGCACGAGCTGTGCTACACTCATCTGGGAGGCATCGGTAGAGTTTGTGACTCTCACCTTCTGGGCATACGAGGTCTTCGGGTGACTCTGGTTGTACACCTCCCGGGCCTCTTTGAAAGACAAATTTCTGGTAGCCTTGATGGTCATGATCTCTTTCTCCTTGACGTATGCAGGGCAAGACCTATCATACGCGGAGTGCGGCGTCTGCCCCTCTCCGCAGTTGACGCATCGGGGGGTCTCCGAGTCACAGGTTTCGTCAGTGTGGTCCTGCGAAGCACACTTGGAGCACGTGGGTCTTCCTCGGCAGTTGTCCTTTGTGTGGCCGAAACGTTGGCAGCGGAGGCAGCGCATGGGCGCTGGGACGAAAGGCCGTACGCGAACCTTCACGTAGCCCACGCGAATCTCACTCGGCAAGTCAGTGGAGTCAAACGTCAGAATTATGTTGTTGGTCGAGACCGTGCCTCTCTTCGTCATGATGCGGCGAGCCGCTGTCACGCCGAAATCAGCGAGCCCGTCCGCAATGTCCTCGTCGCTCACTCCCCTCAGATCGAAACAGTTAATGACCCCTCGTGAGGAGTTCTTAGATCGGTGAGGTTCCACTGTAAGCGGGATGGAGACGAGCTTCCGGCCGGATGCCCGTCCCTCGGAGAACACGAAGCGAGTAGCGTCCAACGCTTTCGCCGCCTCCTCGCTTTTCCTGAACTCGACCTCCAGCGCGCCATCACGCATCCGGTCACAACGAACGATCGAACCAAACCGGTCACAGCCATCCTTCCGCTGGAAGGGCGACAGAGAGCTCAGCTCCCTGTCTGCGCTCCGGAAGATAAGGATCTTAGGAGATCGTGGACCTTTGTCGAGCACCGTTCGCCTGTCGGCCGAGGCCAACAGGCGAGGATCGGCCGAGGCCGAGGGATTGGACTGGGGGGAAGGGGGATCGGTCAAGTTATCCATGTGAAAGAGTTGGTCTCCGCCAGCTCGGCCGCCGACGCTCCGCAACGGCGCCGCTACAAGGCCTGGGACGGCCGAGCTGACTGTACGGGACTTGGCGGCACCTTCCGAGGGGGGGAGAGAGGCTCACCACCCCCCACGGTCGGATACCGCCTCCTCCCTTGACGCCTCGCCGAGTCACCGCCAGGGGCAGCGACAGATCAGCCCCACCGACGGAGGACGAGCACAAGTGCCCGAACCCCGCCGGCGACACCTCTCAGACACCACCCCCGGCTGCATCACGACTGGGAATGGCTCCTCAAGTGCGGCGCCCCACTGAGTGTCCCGCCCTTACAGAACTCAGGGCCAAAGAGGCGTGTTGCCCAGCCACCGCGACTGGCTCCGCACGGTGGGGGGCTCAACCTCCAGGATCCCGTTGTCCTGGGGTACGGGTCGGCTCGCCTAGCCTAGTAAAACCGGCTGGTACCCGAGGGGACGCCACTCCCCTTACACTAGCCCAACTCGGCTGTGTTCCTGCGGGTGCAAAAACAACGAAAAAGGGGAGAAAAGAATCAGAAAGCTGTGATCGAACGAAACGCGGACATCCGGTGAGAAGCAAAGCAAAAGCAAACAAAGACCGCTCAAGAGAAACAAAACCACGGAAACCAAGACAAGTCGGGCCGTACCATCTGTCCATCCAGCGATCAAAGCAAGTCGTAGGCAAGCATGGGTCAAGCTGGGGCCGAGGGGGCGCTACTCCCCTTGCTGGCCGAGGCCAGGGACGCCGCGGGGCGAGGGCTCAAGGAGCCCAGTCCAACAGCGACCCAGGCCACTGCCAACCCCCTGCGGGGCCAATCCTGCAGACAATCCATCCAGTAAGCAAGGCAAGTCCAGGTCAAACGCGAGTCAAGCTGGGGCCGAGGGGGCGCTACTCCCCTTACTGGCCGAAGTCACAGCCGCCGCACAGCCGGAGCCAGATGACCCCGGCTAAGCAGCAGCTCTGACCACGGTCAGCCCCCTGCGGGGTCACGAAGGCGGTGATAACCGGCAGTCTGGTCGCAATGCGACAGACAAGGGGTCCGATCGGCCACATGATTCAGACCGCGAGGAGCCGAAATCGCCAGCCCGCTGGTTGGCAAGTATGTTACAGTGGTGGAGACGACAGTTCCAGCCGGAGACGGAGGGGTGGCTTATATCCTAGTTTGAACGTATGCTTTAAAATAAAGCTGTACACAAACAGGCCGAATTGTGGGCGGTCCCGGGCACCGATTGCTCTTACAATGGCAAAAGTTTTTCTTCATGTAGTTTTTTTTTTAGATAAGCAGTCAGTGAAATGTTCACGTCTTTAAATTTTCCCTCATTTGCAGAAAAAGCGCACAATGAAAACACAACGCATTCTTCCAAAGAAAGGTAACTTGCAAGTTACGTTTTTAAGCATTTGCTCACCGCTCTGCTGAGATACGGTTTTATTCCTCAAGCGGTTTGTAGTTAAAGGTAGTGTGCCACCTTTGAAAGATTTCCCATTTTATTTTTCCTAGGATAAGAAGCTTCTGTTTTTACCTAATATCGCAAAAAAAAAAATCAAAAATGGGCCTGGAATAGTGCCTTTTTCGCCTAAAAGTTTATCGGTTTTTAGATATGTATAACAACTGTAGTGGGCTCACCTGTAAACAGGCGTCGGCAACAATCGCGAATGCGGCGCACATGTGACAATAAGCAAAGGTCATTATAGTGTTACGACCATACGAGGTACGGGAATGAGTTATCAGCTGTCTAATCGTAGACAACACAATGTCGAGCCTTAAACTGTAAGCCTGTATTGGTATTGTTTCTTTTATTTGGCTGTCGAACATTATTTATGGTTTGAAATATGATTTTATGTAAAATAATAGATACGAAAAAGCCGTCTCATAAGTTATGACCCCATTTCACCACACGCAAGTGGCAGAAATGACAATGATCAGCTGACGCATTTTTCTTGGCCGAAGTCAGAGCGCGCAGCCCGACGCACCACCACCGCACCACAAAGTATGAGCAGAAGCCGCGCCCAAAGCCAGGTCCCCGGTAACGTGAGGCAGCCGAGTCGGGGCAGCGTGCGCTGACCCAAGCCGGGGCCGCAGCTTTGGGCGCGGTCTACCGCATACCCGCGGGCAGCCCCGGGCTATCACATGACACCGGGAGGACGCGCGGCTCCGGCTTGGGTCAGCGCACGCTGCCCTGACTCGGCTACCTCACGTTACCGGGGCCCTGGCTTTGGGCGCGGTCTACCGCACCACCTAACAGGCGTGTTCGAAACCGCAGGAGCTGATGATGAACGGGTTTATCGAAACTTGATTGGATGAGCATATCGGTAATAGCGATTTCAGTGTGTGCATTTATTGTTCATAGTGGTGTGAAATGCGGTTGGGGTACGACCGACAACCCGTCGGGGCGAATTTCGCACTGGGGTACTCAAAATTTGAAGAATTTAAGACGTTTCCATGAGTTTTGAAGGTATGGATAAGTTCTAAAAATCCGGTTCTCCTTATCTGGGCCATTAACTCCATACGGTCCAGGAAAGCTGGCACACTACCTTTAAGCTTTTTATCTTTTTGGCTAGACAGGCATTGCGCCCAGTTAGTGAAAGGTAAAAAATATTTTCCCAATTTTCCTTCAACACGATCTTCCTCAGTGACGTTATTGCAAATCTCAAATTTCTCAATTTTTCAATGATTTCATTGATTTTTAAAATGTTCACGCTAAGACATTGTGTGAACAGCATTGTCTTGAAACAATTAATCGGTTCTCCTAGAAAATCCTAAAAGTGAGACGCTTGTTTTGGTTTGGACGGCAGAACGGCGCCGCTACAAGACCTGGGACGGCCGAGCTGATTGTGCGGGACTTGGCGGCACCTTCCGAAGGAGAGAGAGAGAGAGAGAGAGAGAGAGAGAGAGAGAGGAGAGAGAGAGAGAGAGAGAGAGAGAGAGAGAGACCACCCCCGACGGTCAAATACTGCCTCCTCCCTTGACGCCTAGCTCGAGTCGCCAACGGGGGCAGCGACAGACCAGTCCCACCGACGGAGGACGAATGCAAACAAGTGCCCGATCACCGTCGGCGAAACATCCGGGAAAAGCTTATTGTGACGCAAACTGCAACGATATTTGGCAAACACAGTAACTAGCCCGAAATCCCATCCACAAAACAGCACTTAAGGCTGAAACAGACTCTTCCCGCGTTCAGGAAATCGCATGCGAGAGCCTATTCAAATACGTTGTAATTCTTCTCGCATCAATCGCTTGCGGTTGCGGGAGGTGCGTGCGATTGATGCGGGCGTGCTTCCATGTATTTGAATAGTCTCTCGCATGCGATTTCCTGACTGCGGAAAGAGTCTGTTTCAGGCTTTAAAGGAATACAGATCTAATAGGTCGACGTTTAACTGTGTAGGGGAGACCAGGGATGCATGGGCCGGTTTTGTGAAATGGCAATTTTCTTCCAGTGGGCAGTGACTGGACCTGGTTTTTCACTTTGAGTACGTGAAATTGCCTTTCGCCTGTAAAGTGTACCTGATATTAGGCATCTGCGATCAACTATTTTGTCCCTCGAGATAACTTTTCATAAATCATGCGCTTTTTCGATCCATCAAAATACACCGGGAGGTATAGGCCGGTGTCATGTTTCAGATTATTTTATCGACATTGAGCAAAATACTCGAAACTGGGATTTACCTTGAGCTCTCTTAGAGCCCAAGTACCGCATGAGCGGCCAACAGCTTACTTCATGAAGGTCACTTGGGCAGATATTTATTTTGGTCAACAATTATGTTCCATGAAATACCTAAAACAAATAATGTTGTTCTGTTCTAATGCAATTTGTATTTAAATTTTCGACCTTGCTCGACCAAAATAAAACTTATTGAAGAGGACATTTAATGAAAGCATCATTTTATTGATTTAGGATCACCGGGGGTGGGTGGCCCGAACCTCCCGGTTAGGACGCCAGAATGCACGTAACATCTCAGCTCATCATCTTGCAAGAAAACTAAATTGTCTACCCAGTCTTAATTTACATGTTTGAAACTGTATGTTAGCGATGGTCTGACAACATAAAGCGAGCCTGGTTCACATAAATCACGAGTTTTCCGTATGTTTCGTATTTTACTCGAAGGGGGCAACAACACTATCACCGCTCATTGCCAAAGTAGACTGAGGAAGATTTTGGAAATCGCGTGGGTTGTATAACGAAATGGCTGCTACCAGTTTACGCGGTCAATAGTGTAAAAATACGCATCACTTCTTCAAAACTACAATGACCCATGCCTCCCGGGTCTCCCCTACCTACCATTGGTGCAAGAGTGACGGATGATTTTCAATGGAGTACCACTGATGTCCGAGGCGGCCTAGAGCTGTGCGCTACGGTCCAAGAGCCGCTCGTCCGTCAGCGCCTCGGTTGCCAGCTCCTGCACCTTCAGCCAGTGATTCCTGCTAAAATCCGCTGAAGAGAAGATATTTTCACACAGCTTCAACAGAAGCTTGTTCTGTCTGTAAAACAAAAGAAGCGTTTTCAGTATTGCAAAACATTAGCCGTGTTTACATAGGGACCCTATGTAAACACGTTTGTTTGCAGGCTTCGAGCTGCTGAAGAAGGCACTGGGAGAGAAGGCGTTCTACGGTCGACAACACCCCGAGTGCTTCATGACGGACAACTGTGACGCAGAGAGGGGTGCACTGCGGAAGGTGTGGCCAGAGTCAGCCCAGTACCTATGCATCTTTCATGTGCTGCAACAGGTGTGGCGGTGGGTCCTGGACAGTCGCCATGGTGTACCAAAACAGGACCGCCAACGCTACATGGCCATCCTGCCGTCCAAAGGAAGAAACGCGTAACTCGATTTTTTTTTTTATATTGTAGACATGGCCGTGATAGACTTTATGCAAAGCATTAGTCACATTGTATTGGCAAGCAAGACCAGCTCGAAACCAAAGTCAAAGTTCAGTTCAAGTTCCAGTTCCAAATCCAAGTGTAGCCCCCCGCTCCAGACCGAATCCCGCCGTCAATGACAATGACCTTCAGACGACCTTTCGTCCGAGAAGGTTCCAGGAGAAAACCCAATCGGCGGCTGCCCTGGCGTCGCAGCGCCAGCCAATCAGCAGCCGACATCACTGCCACAGCCGTCGCCGCAGAGCACGGCAAATAGCCCACGGCGCGTGAGCTGTAGCCGCGGGCGCTCGCAGCGGCAGAGTTCCACTTCCGACTCTGACTCAGTCGGTCTCGGAGCGGCAGTCCATTCATTGGCGGCAGTTCATTCATTGCCAACATATAGCCGCCCGAGCAATAGGCGGCGGCACAGGAGAAGGAGCCCTCCTACAATATCAATCGATAGCCCTTCTCAAGACGCATCCTACTATGCCAATTTTGGAACGATCTGATGTTATTTGAAAAAGTTATGACCTATCTTAGTTTGGCAAAATAGCGTCAGTTGCGAGGTGGGTGCAATTGGTCCAAGGGGCCAAAGGAAAAAACGCGTGAGATTTCACCCGTTTCTTCCATTGCGGTTTACGCTCGTAGCAGCTCGAAACCCAAAGAAAGAAACGCGTGGACCCGGAGTGGCGTGTTTGATACCAGCACGGCGGAGGATGCACGACATTTTGTCATGTTGTGATCTTGGTAGACTTTTAATCTCATCGTTGATTATTGTGATGTCTTAAGTAAGTTTATTGTCGTGATAACATAATAAACGAATACACGCGCAGAGAAGGCCTAACTTCAATAATGCCTGAGATAATCGTGCTTCTGAACTGTCTAAAATGGACACGCTAATTTAAAACCCCATTAAAAACTTGCCGCCTGTCATCAGTACCTAAGCACGTGCTTCACTAAAAAAATCAAGGAACGTAAACAATAACAAGTTTTGGCGCCATGGCGGGCAATTTAAGCTGATCGTTTTCGCTCCGCGCTGGCTTAAGTAGTGTCTTTGGTGACAGGTGACAGTTCTTGATCGTGATTTATGATAGGATGGGGAGAAAGCGAAAGAGACCGATACCAGGTGTACCGATTGACGCAGATTTTAAGACACGCAGAGGCAACATATATGTAAGAGTTGACTGGGACGACACAAGTCGAGGTGACTATCACTATGTCCCCGTGAAGTCGCTGAAGTGTTCCGGGACTATTGCCGCCGGCTCACGGGTCAGCATGCGACATTCGGGTGGTCGAGCGTGGACGGGCACCGTAGCGGTCAGCCTCTTGGCCGCACGCTCCCTAGTTCAAGGTAAGATGCCTACATTTGAAGAAAATAGCACGCCTTCAACATAGGATTTTAACGAATATAGCCATCTTGTAGTCCGTTAAAACGTGCAAGTCTCGTTAAGGATAACATTTCAGCCTCCAGCGGAAAATGACGGGTAGTTTTATCCCGAATGGCAGCGTATTCTCTCCGATTGCAGACATCCGAGGGCATATCAAAGGATGTGTAATGAAGGTTTCTTACATGCTCGTTTCTAGAACTCAGTGTGCCAAAATTGAGTTTTGTCTTGGGTGTTAGAGGGGAAAATTCCCCACCAAAAAGAGGGAAGAGAGTGGAAAACTGCTGATTCGATTAGATCCAGAAAGAGTGAGAAACGGCGTAAAGCAGGCATTTTATTCTACACTGAAAACCAAAATGAATCCCCTGATGCCCTGATCATTGAAGTCTATACCCCAATTATTCCCTTTTCATCTCTTCATTATACCTATGGGGTATATTCATGGAATCGCAGTTGGCTTCATATTCCCATGATATTCCCTCGACCTCCATGAATTATTGATTCTCTTAATAAGCTTTTGATATCACCCTGTGAGAACCATATTATGCCATTGATACCCCAAATGATTCTACATGATTCCGTGCGTAAAAGATGCTGTTGATACCCCAGTCGCTGATAGTTATGCCTTTATGATTCTCTATCTATTCTTGCAATATACCCTTTCATTGCCCAGAGGGTATCTTGCCGGAATCACAGGGAGGCTCATATTCCCTTGAGATGCTTTCATATTCTTCTGTTATGCTTCCTTTGCCTGATTCTTTCAAAATACTCTTGATATCACCCGAGTAGAACCATAGTATTCCTCAATGATTCTTCGTTGGAGGCATTAGGAACGCGCCAAAGGTCCGCCATTTTTCTCCGCCATTTCCGGTGATCAGTGAAGAGCGGTGTTGGGTGCTGTGTGGTTGCGAGTGGTGCCATTTTTAGGCTGGAATTGAGCCTTATTGAGGGTGAGTACCATCCTTAGCAGGAACTCATATGACGATGAAATGCTTGGATTGACTTAGGCCCTTGATTTTTCATATGTAGTGACTTCTGGGGCATTCCACGTCAAATCAAACACCGAAATCCGTCATCCCCTTCGATTTTTCTGAAAATTTGTAGGCAGACTGGGCATGGTTCAAAACTGAGTTACGTATAATATTTTCGAAATTTGATAACGTATCGCTGAGATATAGGTCATCGAATATAGCGAAAAATGCCGCACATCAATTTTTTAAATGGCTATAACTCTGGTTCCTTTTCTGGTATCAAAATGATATTAACAGGGTCTTATAGGCAATTGATAAGGCTTTGATTTTTAATTATCAAATTAAATTGAAGTGACCTTGAAATGCATTTGACCTTGAATTAAAACAGAAAAATTTAAATAGCAAAAAACACGTCACCTTCGATTTGGGTAATTTTTACATATTATGTCCGTCACAATGTTCCTAACCATCTGTGAAAAAATTGGAGTGGGCCATTCATAACTTTCGCGGCAAACGCCGTTTTCCTGCATCAACATCACGCAACCGCGCGTGACCTTGAAAGACAGAGTCAAGACATGCTTGCTTGTGTACACTTTCTGAAATGAATTATTGCTGATTAGTGATATCCCAAACTCTGCGAGAATGGAAATGCATAGTCATCGTAGTGAAGCATTCACGTTCCATAGTAAAAGTGTCTCAGGCAAACGGTATTTTGCGATGAATTTTGAGCCGTGTGGAAATGCATCATGAAGTAAATTCAACGAAAACATTATCACGCAACGATATCTTCACGTCTTTTGATCTTCACTATACGAAAGAACATACATTTTTTAGTATGTATGGGAAATTTCTAGTTAATCCAATGATAAATATGGCAGTTAGAGGCCTGCTAAGAGTAACATGTCGCCGGCTGAGGCGGGCTCGGCCGATGCGGGAAACGCAGCAATCACAATTTTGTGTTTACACGTTCATATTTCAATTGTTTACCAACCGATTTTCAAAATTCTTTCACCATAAGATTGCCTGTACATTTCTTAGTCTTCTCACAAAATTTGACGCGAATCGAACGTAATCAGCGGTAGGGAGCGCGATGTAAAGACGGAACCGTTCCGTTCCGTCCCGGCACAGTCTACAATTCAGGCGGCGCGTAGCGGTCGGCGCCGGCTGCCGAGTCGCCGCGTTGCTGCGGCGACAGGATGTTCACTTTACACCGCTATTACTAGAACAGTTGTGAGCCGATTTTCTTATTGCTTGCACGACGAGATGTCCAATTCAATTCTTGACAGGTAGCCATAATTAATTTCGCATTAATTTTATGAGATATTGGCGAAAAACAGGAGGGGTGGGCGAAATTCGTTCCTCCCCCTCCACTGCGCGTGCTAACATACGTTTGCATATGTGCAATTTTCTTCAAAACTTATGAATGGCCCATTCTAATTTTTTCACAGGTTGTTAAAAATATGGTAGGCAATAAAATATATGAAAATGAGCCAAATCGAAGGTGACGTGTTTTTTGCTATTTCAATATTTGTGCTTAAGAACAGAGTTAAGCAAATTTCAAGGTCATATATTTAAGTAGGTGCAATTCTAAACAAATGCTTAAGAAATTACCTAAACAGTAAGGTTTATTTCATTCAAATCAAACAAGTACAACCAAAGTTATGGTCGTTCAAAAATATAAAGATGCAACATTTTGCAAAAATTTGATGCCCTATATTTAGAAGACCTGTGGTCAGAATGTGCAAAAAACATCAATGTAATGTCCGGGGCCACACAGGAACTCGCTCACAAATTTATAATGAAATCGCTGATGGTAAGGTGCAAAACAGCCGATTTTTGTTCGATTTGACGTGGAATGCCCCTTCTTCTAAGGTTGCGTGTACTTGTGCTTCTGATGTCTAAATGAGATCATTACTATACAGCATTATATTTGTTTAAATAGGTAGGTACCCAACAGTTGAACATCGTTGTTCTGATACATGTTAACTTCTTACATATCGAGTATCAGCGAACCTGTTCAACCAATCTTATACAAAATGCATTGGGGGGGGGGGGGGGTTGCCTCATACTCTTGAGTATGTGTGAGCATCCCTGGACCCGTCAGTGTGAATAAAAAATATTCTCAAATGAGTAAGTGATATGTCCGTCGTCCTCCTTGCCTGATCCACAGAGGACGCGGCGCTGGTACTGCTGCGCCTTCTGGGTGAGGAGGGAACGGTCGTCATGGAGGCGCCAGCGGCGACGATGACACGTCACCTGATACACGAG